TCCCTACTTGATGGGGTTTGGGACACTAGGATTAGAGTATGCTGTCATTTCGACGGATCATCAATGCTCGCTCTCGATTACCGAATACAGTGAACTCATAATATTTCTAACATATCAGTTGACGTGTCGACGCGCAGTCGTAACAAAAACCCAGAAACAGTTTATGCCAAAGTCCTAACTCACATGTCTTTCAACCTTGTCTATCATTCGCTGATACTCTTTATCGTTTTTATTCAATTATTTGAGTGCACGCTTATTTAAATGAAGGATTATTTTGTTTTTCTACCTAACTATTAATCCTTAGTCATATCTTATTACATTAAGTTGACTCACTGGCCTTATCCACCTATCGCCTCTTTTTTTTAGGCTTTTCATTCTCGTCTATCTGCTTAAATGTATTCATGAAATAAACTAATACAACCAAATCCGTAGCTGTCTTCTTTTCCCACTGTGGCACAAAGCAAGATTCGCACTAGCATGAATTGGAATGTGGGATTTCTTTCAATGCATAGTCCATCGTTCGCACTATTTGAAGTCAGATGGCAGGCCAATAACGTGGTGAGCCTTACTCCAAGTTTAACGTGGCCCACTGAAGTGATGTGCCCAACGTGATATCAATTCTGTGCTGGAGATGGGCCTACCGACTCTGTGGCTGTGGATATTCAAAATATTACTAAACTTCGTATACTACCCACCCTGATAACCGTCGCTATATATTTCAGAATGCGAATATGAAGCGTCGATTACGTTCATTATTACATTATACGGATCACAAAAACACAGGCATACAAAGTGAAAGCGATAATGATGTGACAGCGTCGAAGAGCAAGCGAGCGAAACGGTGAGTATGCTAAAAGTAGGATTAAAATATACATATTCACATAAAAAAATTAATCGGTCACTGGATTCTATAGTGAGTAAAATGAATACGTGTATAGGAGGTGAGTAAAAATGATCGTCTGTTTAATACCTTTAGCAAAATAGCCTAATCAAATTAAATGTATGCAAGATCAAATGGATGTGAGTTAGTATAAGTTAGTAAGCCCATTTCTTGGTGCGATATGGTCTGGTTTTGTGTGCATATAAATTAATATCGAAAGTCAAGGAATACAAAACAAAGGTTTCGTCTATCCACTATGGTGAAGGACATTACTCATCTCATAGATGTGAACAAACTCAAATGTAAGCGAGTTGCCATAAGCTGATCGCCAGTATTCAAGGTTATTGCTGAGACGTTTTGCTAATCTACGTTTCTGTTCCCTTCTATCAACATCAGTGTCGAGGCTTGCTCCAGTAGGTTATGGAGCACCTCTCTATTCAACAGATACTTTTGAAATCCCATAAATATTCCTAAACTGTTGCTGCATTTACTTACAATGGACTGTCGATAAATAGAAGCTAATGGCATATTTATCAAATAACAAATGACATAGCATATACCTCCCCTAAATGTATAGGTTTCTGTTGACCTAGAAATTATGTTCATGCAATTTACTGTTCCCATTTTTATGACAATTCATTATTTACAATCTTCTCTACCCACAGTCACCTTTGTTTCATCCTTACATAGTTGTTAACTTCCGTCTAATGGTGCGGTATAGTCTGGTTTTGTGAATATAAATAAATATATCTAAAGTCAATGAACATAAAACAGACTTTTCGTTTATCCACTATGATGAACAACATTACCTATCTGACACCCGAAACTACAACTTCCTACTGTTTATAAATCCGTTCTACCTCAATCTTTGTTCGTTCTTCTCAAAACCTACTGTAAAGAAATCCTTTATCATCGTCAAACACCATCTAACCAGAATATCCCAACAGAATAGAGCAATATTTATTGTCATTCAAATTTTCAATATCTATTTTCTCCTCGTTTAAGCGATTGTTTACGAGAGTTCACTCATCATATACTGGTTTGCTGTTGTTTTTGAGTGTTAGAACAAGCGTCGTCAACCAAATCAGTTGCAGATGATCGATTTTTGGTCTTGATTTGCACAAATGCGGTAATATTTCCCGTGCCTCTTGTTAAAGGAATACCGGTTTGAGCAACACACCTGTTTAGAAGCACCAAATCCGGTAATTAGGCGGAATTCCGAAAATACATAATAAATCCTCACACGTGAGAGAAACGTTGTGTGATAACCTTGTGTAAAGTTAATGATTATCTGTAGAAGAATGCTTGCTGAATGATGCTGGATTCAACCATTTGTTCGTTGTTTTCATGTGCACATTCGCCAAAATCATAACCCGCAAGCTTCAGGAATAGTTAATGAATCATGAGAACAATAAATTAGAGATGTTATCTTTGGTGACATTTTCCAGATTAACAGTATTCCACCTGCCTTAAGACTGGAATAGCTTACAGCAAAATCATGCTGGATGATTAGGAAACATCCTCCTTACGTTTGAGGACGATTTGTGTCAAACGGAAGTGGACATTGTCCCTAGAGTATAAAGAAGTGCGATTTCCGATACTGATGAAGTCTTCGTCGTTGGTTTGAATTCGCAAGCGAATGAAGGCAATAAACGTATTTGAAGACGCGATAGCCCGTGTCTACGTTTGTGAACTATTATGTCTTTACGAAGGTTCACACATTAACGAGCCTTCAGTGTGTATATGGAAAAAATGGTGGGATCACAGACTTTTTGAGAAACGATCAAATGATCTCAACTATATTCACAACAAAATTAAGACTTCTGTTCGATGCCTGCATTATTCAAAGCCACACATAGCCACATGTTTTCGCTCCAAACCATGAACTATAAATTTTATAGTTGACAACGCAACAAGATGTTGAAAGCTTGAAGTCTCATATCTCTCTGTACATTCTTTACAACAGTATATCCTTCGTCTGACGTAGCAGGTAGTATGTCTAAGGGGAATATTTAACAGCATGTTAGGTAACCATTATTGTCATTTATGAATTAAAGTCTATCGTATTTTGATTTATAGGCTTTTTTCCTTGTTTTCAGTTACATATTGTAATATACTGATAGACTTAAAGAGTAATTTATTCGTAACATCATCATCATTATAGTGATGCGGAAAAGTTAATCGATATTACTAGCCTTAACTAGCTTAAGCGTTTCCAAGAATAGATTAATTATGGAAGTATAATAGTTAACAGGAACGGTAACGATAGCAACAAGTGTAAGTTTGATAAACATTAGTCGTTAACAGTAGCCTCAGTTTCCATTAATTATCAGCTATGCTTATGAGTTAATTTTTCAAAATAGGACAGATATCAGCTGAATATTACACACTTATATGCTTACGACTTTTGCCCTCAATAAAGAATAGACAGATGACCAGCATTTTCCACCGTACTCTGTCGTGGGCCTACCTTTTCAGTAGGTGTGAGTTACTGATAGTATGGAAACGTAATCTTTAATCTACACTAGACTGAACTCTTCTGGCAAATGATGTGAATTATGACAAATTTAAATTTATTTAGTAAAAGAGGAGGTGACTGATAAAATTACTGCTCTCGACCTAAATAACATCGAATTTAGATTTCACTTGTAGGAAAAACGCAAAGAGAACGTTGCGCGCAATAAGTGGAAGAAGTGTTTTTGGTACAGTTAAACAAAACGTGTACAATAATGTTTGTTTTTCTTAAATCGTATTTTCTTCGTAGAAGCTTTCCACTACAGACCCATCACATTTTCTTGACAGTAACAGCAACAATCCTCGAGAAAATCAATTAGAATTTCTGTTTTCTGAGCGAAATTTATCATTCACCAAACAGAATAGAAACAAAAATTTCAGGGAAAACATTATCCACAAGAGCGTTCAAAGTTTCACCGGAATCACAATATACAACAACGTAAAAGGTTAGTATACACCCAGTAAGTGTTCTAGTCAGAATCAGTATGGAACATTCACACATCTGTTACACATATGCTACACTTATAACAGCTCAGTATCCACAGTCAGCAGTAAATATGATGCTGTTGTTATCGAAAAAGTTTGGTTCTAATGGAACACTCGTGATTAGTCTGATGGCATGAATGTGGTTATTTTTTTAAAATTAGATGCAACATTTGTGGGGGCACAGTTAAACAATTAAATTCAGGCATCAAATCCTTGTGTTCAAATTTGAAGCCAATAGAATTGAAACAGTTCAATGGAAATGGCCAAAAATGTTGCCGGTTTATCTTATCCAGACTTACAAAGAAAGACTGATATGCTTTGAACCACTTCTTTTTCCTCACCGTAGGACGTGGGGTGATTTATTATTGCCTTACCGTACAACGCATGACAGGTTCGAAAGGAATATTCTACCATCTTCATACACCTCGGGCTGCCTAATTAATTCAGACTCTATTATGAAAACGTGTAAATCATAGGTGCGAGTGGTCAGCTGCTGTATATTTCCACGAATAAAGTTTCCCAATTTATTATGTCTTGTGAACCAAACTCAGAAATACCTTCACCATTTTTACACCATCTGGATTATTGGGGCCATGGAATGTGAGCAGAAGAGACCTCACTCCTGACACCAAATGCAGCGCTTGCTCCTTTAGGCTTTAGTTTAGTCTAATTATTCGTTATATATCAGGAATGATTAAAGGGATTAGTGTGTGCACGATAATCTGAAATTAAGATTGGAGTGATAAGTGGACTGACGACTCAGTCGACACATAGAGGGCATAAACACTCACCAATCAAAGTCAATGAGACCAACTGGCAGTGATACAAAAGTTTAACAGGGACAGCTTTTTATCAGAAAATTCGAGTCGTGGGATCGGATCTGACTTCCGTCTCACATTCCTCCTACAGCAATAACAGTAGCTGTAACGTTTATTCAGCGTCTTTGTACTCCCCCACACCCAATATGCAATGTCTCCAATATCTTTTACACAAGGAGGTTTGTTCACAAAATTTTTCATAGTTATTTTAAGTAAATACCAGCGCAATCAAATAGGGAATATCACTTTTACTATTAAAACGCGAAGGAGGACTATAAACAATCTTCAACCTTCAATAGTTACAAATATCCCGCTACTCATTTACACTGACTTTGTACCCAAACAGTTCGTGGCGGGTTGTTATCAGGCTTCGAATGGAGGCTGAGGCTAGCTATGATTTCGTCGCCAACGCCGAGGATGAGCTTGGATTCAAGAAAGGGAGTCTTTTGAAGGTATGTAATTTTTTTATAAGCTGATAGCTCAATATGGTGCAATTCCATGATATGCTCTCTGGTAGTGTTTTTATAAATTCTTGGGATAAGATTGTCATGATAAGCCCTCAATATCCATTATTTCGGTGTACGTACCAGATGTTTGTTTCCCACCATACCTGCTTGACGAACATCAGATCTAAAACGATATGCGACACGTTCCCAATCAAAGTTATGAAGTTATAGACTGGGAAGTCATTTGGTATTTCAGTCTGTACTGAGAAACCTTGAAACACCAGTGGTAGTGATTCTGCCTATTTTTACTGCAAGTTTTTGTTTAGTATAGTTACAAATTTATAAGGGTTACTACTATTTTGTAGTCTGATTTCAGACGCTTATCAGTTATATTAGCTTCTGAACATCTGATTTTTTTGTTTACAAATCCTCGACTGCAGTATGTGATGATATTCTCTCTGAGATCAGAGTCTGGACAGAGACGCGTTGAAACGTTTCGTAAATTTGAGAGAAACGTAGCAAATACTAAGCTGTTTTTAACACAGTTATTTAATACATTTGTAAACATCGTAAGCTTTTTAGAGTATTAGGATGTGTTTGGTAACTAGCGATTATTTAGTGGTAGTGTCCTAGCTAACACTAGTCCTTCTACGATGTCCAAACCTGTTCTGTCTACCTTATTTTAAGCAGCTGAATATCATTTATACCATTGAAAATATGACTGTGTCGATTGCTAATATCAGTGAGTTACACCGAGTTTGTTAAATCACATCTTATGGTAAAATCCTTTCAAAGAACCTCAAACGTTGCCTTTTGTGTTCGATAGTGTTCGTGACCTAAATTTTATCCGTCATATGTCTATCCCTATTATCATTCTTTGCCACTATTTTCTCATGTGTGCAATCAGAAATCCATTGACGTTTATGAACTGCAAGAACTTGGAAGAACAGTTGTAAGCTGAACAATTTTTAGTGAAAAATGAGTCTTGAACTGGTATGTAAAGCTAATGTACGGGATAAATCACAGTCAGACAACTGAAAAAATTAAATGAAGCCATTTGTTTCTACAAACTTTATAGGTCTTGAGACAGCGAAGATGAACAGTTTGGTCAGATAATTGGACTGCAAGTTGTTACCCTACCTGATAAACAGTTAAGATTGGTCTTGTCTGTGTATCGTAAACAGCCTATTTTCGTAACTAGTTTTTTTTGCACGCATCTATACTAACCTCAACTTTTAACATTGAAAAATTACTCAGCAGCCTTACATATGTATCATTCATTTTCACAGATACTATGTGTGGAAGACGATCCTAACTGGTACCTTGCTGAACAGGAAGGTCGAACGGGTTTGATACCGTGTAATTACATTACAATGCGTCCTCACCATTGGTACATCCGACACTGTAGTCGTATGGAGGCCGAAGAAAGACTTCAAGAAATTGATCAAGAAACAACACAACATTTGCAACCTGATGGAGCCTTTATATTGCGTCAAAGTGAAGCAGATGGAAAAGGGTTTAGCTTGTCTGTCAAGTAAGTGTTGTGCAGTATATATCGGAAATGCTGAAAATACTTTTTACATTCAGTACCCAAGTATGGGCTTTTGTATTAGACTTTAAGTCACACTTATCGCGAATAAAGGTGCAATCGAAATGGGTAGATGTAAATCCAACATAAAAATCATAACCTACACCATATATCTAGTGATTATGTACAAAATCTAAAAGGGAATTCGTTAGTAAGCCGATAGTTCCCTCGTAATTGTCTGTCTACCAAGGCAGGTCAATTGGAGAACGATGAGACTAAAAGCAGTTACTCACAGTCTGAGGGCTTAGTCGTACTGCTGACTGCAGAAAGATGTGACAGCAGTAAAGTGTTTCCCTCGGACAACCAGCATCTGCAGCGATGCAGCCTTCTCACAAGGAAGGGAGGGTTAGAAAAGGTCGACCCTAAAAATGTCACACCTTACCCTGCCTCATGGATTTCCGTCTCTGTCGGTAAGGGCTGCCCACTAATGGCTTTTAAGAGCGGATCTAATACTCAAAAAACCTTTAACAAATAGGCCGTGCGTGACCGGCCTGAAGCAGTTGTCCCCTGGACTCTACGGTCACGCAACCAGGTCTATAAGACCATCTCTAATCCACCTTCCTTTCCAGGTTCTTCAAGAGACATCCTTCCATGGTGTGGGCAGCCGGGAAGTGATAACCGCCCTCATACCCGTAACAGTACGCGAGACCAAATTGGTCAAAATCAAATCCTTCCTACACCCTCTAATACTTCTCTTATCTCCACGACTAACTCTACTCACATTCCTTTATCTCCCCGCACCTCTGCTGCAAACGATTCGAGTCCTTGAAACGTTATTTCTGGTCTCTTGAAGCCCCGTTGCCACATTTTACTTTAGTTTTTGTTCGAATCATTTAGTATCTGCTGATTTTCATATTTTTGTGCTTTTAAAGCCTTTTGTTTGTATTTGTATCATTTATTCATTTTCACTTTTTTCATCTCTCCAATCTATTCTCTTTTTCTACTAGACAAGGTTGTGAAGTACTTCATTTTAAAGTACTTCAAGATGAAGCTGGAAAATATTTTTTCTGGTTATCTAAATTCGATTCCATTAATCAGTTGATTGATCATCATCGAAAGACTAGTATATCACGTAATCGTTTACTGACCTTAGTTGATCTTGTCCCATCTAAGGTGAGTGAGTGTGTATGCATGTGTTTCCGTGTTGTAATCCGTGTTCTTTTCATCTGTTAATTGTCATTTTTCTGTTCGAACGACAATACTAAAGGTATATATATATATATATATATATATATATATATATATATATATATAAATTTGTTAGAGGTTGTTGGTGGTTGTCGGGAATCCCTTCATCTAACCATTTCTGTTATTACCTTAATATTACGTTTTCGTAAATTATGAATGTTATCATCGTCCACCAAAGTTTTTTACACTAAGCTTTCATCATTACTTCCACAACCAAAATACTGGTTGGAACACATGCCAGGAGCAACTAGAAAGAGATTTAAGCAACCATGTAAGCGATTCCCATCCGGAGGCAGTTTGGAATGATATCCAAAAGGCTGTGGAAACATCAGTGGTATCTGCTAGTAAGGTAACCCATAAGGCTACAATGAAGCTGTGGATTTCAGTAGCATCTACCGAACTGATGGGTGCTCGAAAACTCATCACGCCTGGCTCTGAGTGCGATAAGGAGCGGAGTCAGCTTAGACGTAGGCTGATAAAAAGACTACGCAATGATCGAGAACAGTGGTGAGTGAGGCAACAGTAGGCAACTATTTAGACTCATCAAGGAAACTGGTATTAGGAATTCGAATGTGAGTGAGACTATCTCGGAAAAAGATGGTCTTATTATCCATTCTCAATCCAGTAGACTGGAAGGATGGGCAGAACACATTAGGGATCAGTTTAACTGGCCTTCAGCCATACTTCCGTTACCCACGATCCCTAGTCATCCTGAATGGCAAATCGATTTAAGTCCTCCTAGTCTACATGAAGTTGAGAAAGCGATAAGAAATCTGAAGCGAGGGAGAGCTACAGATCCTGATAGACTGACACCTAAGAATTTTGAGAATGGTGGTCTAGTTTTATCAGCTAGATTGACCGAGATCTTAGGTAGAATCTGGGAACTGGACGTAATCCCATCCAACTGGTCTCAATCCATAATTGTCCCAGTCTACAAGGACAAAAGTCTTCTTGTGACAATCACAGGCAAATAAGTCTAACTAATATAGCATCTAAAATATTAGCCTCAATAATACTTCAACGCTTAACGATAGCTCGTGAAGAGCAGACTAGAGGAAACCAGGCTGGTTTTCGACCTGGACGTGGTTGTATAGACCACATTTTCACACTACGACAGGTTCTGGAACACAGACACACATTTAGGCGTCCTACAGTAGTTGTTTTCCTGGACCTAAAGGCGTCATTTGACTCTGTAGATCATGAGGTTCTGTGGCAGTGTCTGTCATTGAAAGGTGTACCAAAGAAGTACATTAACCTTATACAAGCTCTCTACTCGAACACCACTGGTCGAGTGAGAGCATATGGCGAACTGTCACCGGAATTCTTCACTTCAAGTGGTGTCCGTCAGGGATGTCCACTCTCTCCATTCTTGTTTAACTTTGTCGTAGACATCCTGTTAGAGTTAACATTAGGCTCGTCGAGTATGTTGATCACTTCACTTATCTTGGGAGTCTCATCAGTGCTGATAACCTGGTGACTGACGAAATCTCAGCACGGATACAGATGGCTCGATTGGCTTTTGCCAACCTGCGTCACTTATGGCGTAGGCGTGATATCCGTTCGCTAACCAAAGGACGGGTGTACTGCGCAGGAGTTCGCTCCGTTCTCCTATATAGATGCGAAACATGGCCGTTAAGAGTAGAAGTTGGTCGTAGGTTACTAGTTTTCGATCATAGATGTCTTAGAAGCATTGATCTTATATCGTGGGACAACCGAGTAAGTAATGCTGTAATTCGGAAACCGGTTCTTGGTAAGGATGGCAGATCAATAGATGAAGTATTGAAACTTCATCACTTGAGGTGGTTAGGACATGTGTTGCGTATGGCTAACCACCGACTGCCTCGACGAGCTTTGTTTTGTAGTGTAGGAGTAGGTTGGAAGAAAGTTAGGGGCGGCCAGACGGAAACATGACTGCAATCCATGAAGTCATTGACAAGTAGACTGAGTCATGTCGTAGTTGTCGACTACCTGGATTGGGGTCTGGTAGACGAAAGTCACCAATGGTTAGAGACCTTGAACGACATGGCTCAAAACCGTTTGCAATGGCGCCGGTGCATTTATTCTTTGTGTTCTCTCAAATCCTAATCTTCTGGATTCTTCAACACCTCTAGTTTTGTCTTTCTAAACTTATCTTACTGAAGCATACTTCTTGAATAATATCTTCAAACCCTAGTCTTCTTCAATACCATTAATACCTCCACTATCTCTATCACTATGGGATTTGATTTGAAATTTGCGTATCTGTACTGACGTGGTATGGCAACCTGAGTACATACATACGAAGTTCTACGTTGCAACTGACTGACTGACTGAGTCCCTTAGTAATCAGTGACCAACTATGGGTTTATACGACATGATCCTGGAGCCTATTTTACAATGTAGTTTCCAACTTCTTTTTTAATCATTAAAAACTCCGCCGCGAGAAGCCAGTAAGTAGGGTTTCTCTGATAGTGGCTATATAATCGTGGTCAAATAAGAGCATTTTGAAAGAGAAAGTGGACTCTCTATATTCGGTCTTACTAGCGGATTTGACGGGAAACTATGAAATAAATGTATATTCATTAGACATATATAATGTTGTGGATAAATAACCTAATGCGATATTTTAACCAATACAACTTGAATTGATTTTAAAATATGAAAAACAATTCTTTTTCTTGTTCAGAAATAATCTGTATTCTAATATAAGGTTATCGGTACTATCAAAGGATCCATATACACACATACATTTATACAGGCTAGGCATGATACTAAGGTCATAGTGTATAAATTGTTTTGAAATCTAAATTGTTTACAGGTTTGTTTGTTCATCATTTCGGTATCGATCAAAATGTTGGTATAGCTAAATAGATTCACGTGAATACACACTAATTTACAATAATGTTTGTTATAATTTCTCAGTAAAAAGGAAAAGCCAACATCAATTAGAAAAGAATCATTTTGTTAAAGATAATAAATAAACTGGTAAATAACTGACCGTTATTTCAGTTAAGGTTGTTGATGAATATTCGTTATAATCTATAAAAATGTGAATCTCGTACAAGGCGAAGTAGTTTAGTTGACTTTCGATTATATTGGATTTGTGTGCACCATTCAAGGATGACCTAGACAGACATGATGTTGGCCAGTATTCAATTACCTACAAATGTATATATTAGTTTTACATTGAAATCATGAATGAATCATTGTTAGACCATCATTAGAAACCTGGAAACAGTGGATGACCGTTTCGTCCTGCTATGGGACTCATCAGCAGTGCGTATCCACAACTGCCATTCGTAGGATTCGCACCCAGGACCTTCGGTCTTGCGGGTGAACGCTTAACCTCTGAACCACTAACCCGTATCCAATAGTGTTGACGTCAAACTCTGATCAATCTAAAGATTTTCGCGCATACTCACGCAATGCATTCATAATTTCAATGTAAAACAACGATTTCCATAATACTCTAACGCCAAAATACCGACTTTTTGTAGAGTATGCTCATTTCCTTATTGTTGTTTTTGTAATCTCATTAATTTAGCGTTTTCCTATTAACGTACGAAAGTATCAACTTGATCGAGTTATTGCCCGGTTCGATTTCATTACTAAAGATCCCAGTGAATTATCTTTACATCGTGGCGATGTTATCGAAGTTATTAACCGTGATGATGAAAATTGGTGGCGTGGTCGTGCATCCGATGGACGATGTGGCCTATTTCCATCAAATTATGTCGATGACTTGCCTTCTGTCATATAAATAATTAAATAATTTTTTTTACAAATAACACTATGCAAATTAATCAGTAAATTATTCAGTCATTCACAAAGGTTGCCTCGATAATTTTCTTTTATACTTCTAAATCTTTGTGTGTGTGTGTGTGTGATGTGTGTGCATAAGTATTAGCATCTCTACTAGCTCTTATATGCATATACATGTGGCCCTCTTTCTCTCTCTTTTTGTTTATTTTATCGACAAGTAAAAAACCTCTCCTCAACTTTGTATTCATATAATTTTTCCAAAAGTTCTACAAACTTATTATTAAATATCGTAAAACAAATAGACGAACAAACAATATGTGCATATAAATTTATATGTACATACTACACCACAGTATACTTGTTTGTTTTGTATCGCTTTCACCTTCTTTAAATTAAACCAAAGCAACAGGAACAAAAAATCAAGTATTATGTCTACAAATAAAAAAAAATATGCATTATTAGCCTTTAACAATAATTATTACTATTTGTTTTGGATTACATTCAGTGTTTTTATTTGCTTGTCTGGATTTATTATCATTGATGATTGAATATATATATATATATATATATATATATATATATATATATATATATATCAATGTTGGATGTATAAATTTCACCACTTATTATACTGTGTTATGCTTCTCAGTGTTGAACAGTTGAAATTGGGTTTTGTTTTTCTATAAACCGATGAATGAAGTTTATGAAACTTGTTATCTTATCATTCTCTGAATACCATTACTATTAATTTTTATTTATTTATATAATTAGTTGTTTGTCTATTTCAATCGTTGGTATTTTCTTACTCATACTATACAGTATTATTATTATTATTATTATTATAGATGTGTGCTTAACTAACTGTGCAATACACTTTCATCATTTATTGATTATACATAATACGCACCATTCATCACTATCATGCTTGCTTTCGATTGTGTTGTTTATTTTGTGTCACCGACTTTTTCTCTCTATTTCTTACTCAATACTCTTAACATGTAGAGTAGTAACTTCAGTGTGTTAATACATTTTATTTGATTTTTTGTTGTATTTTTAAATTGCTATGACTGTTGTCACTCTTGTTCTTTCTTTCTTTCTCCGTGTACACTGATCAGTTCATGTAGTTTTATTGCTGTTATATTTTAGCAGAAAAAAAGTTTTTTCTTGTTTTGATTTATTATTATGCTTTGGTTTTTTTTTCCTTCATCATCATCATCATCTTCTTCGTCTTCTTGCATTCATTCCATTTATGGATTGATGTGTTAGCAAGAGAGAGAAAGAGAGAGACAGAATGAAACAGACGACTATGTGAATAAATTACAATTATATATACTATTACTATTATTATTATTATTATAAATACCAATAATAATATGCATTCTAATGTTATTAGTGTTTTGCGCTACATGTTCATAAAGTTCTATCATACAGTGATATATGTGTTCATTAGCGCCTTGTTTATTCGCTGATACATGAATGTTACTTATCAGTTTTATTGGACTTATTGATTTTGATTGTGTTGTGTTGGTTTTAATACGTTCACCATGATTGTGTCATTTAGACAATGATCTAATTGAATATAATAAATAAAAGGTCAAAGTACAAAGCTCTAATGCTCTTTCTGCCATTTCGCACATGTAACCAACATTTCGTAAAAAATTGAACAACAAGCAAAGTTTGGCATCTCCAATGTGGTATATCTTTTTTTCCGTCAAGTTCCTTGCGATAAGACTTATTAAATTTAAAGTCGATTCTGCTGGGATAATTAATCATTAGGAGGTCTTCGCACAGTTGTCCTGCTAAGTCTTTAGTTGTTTTCAAACCTATGAAATCACCCTGTCCTATCTAAACGATCCCTAGTCTGTGAATGGTTGAAGTGCTTTTATGTAACCACCGTGTCTGGATAATCTTTTCGGATACCATGCATACCACATACCATGCATGCCATTGGAAATGACCTCTAATGATAGCATAATAATGCAGATGCGACAATAAATGCGTTTGGCTTTGTTTTTGGAAATTCGTGGCACAGGTGCTTAGTATGTACGTATCCGAGACCCATATTCAAGACTTTGAATGGTACAACTCCATCCTTCGACTAGGAATGTTTGTTTTGCATGCGCTTATGTGGAGACCCTCATCTTTCTCTGCTGTAACTGAAGTTTTCATCATGCTAAATACCAGCGTGAAGGCAGCACTAGTCTCTCGGGTCCTCATTAACAATTATCTGAGTGCTGTTAGATTAAAAAGCTTCATCAGAAATAGGACTTCACGCGGTAAGCGATCTATCTTCATTATCCCTGTTTATCGCCTAACATATCAAAGCTTTGATGTAATCAAGATTGAACTCCATTACTCGTTAAGTAATATTTTCAAGAAAACTTTTTCTGTAGATATTGTAATGCTAGCCCGAGATTTAAATACACAGTTCAAAGATCACTCATCTTTCTTATTCTAAATTAACTGTATTCTAAGCGTAACCTTAATATTCTATTTTTCTACTCTAACAGACAATTTTATTTTTTGTGCATTGTGGTCTTGGTAGCAAATATATATATATATTCTCTCTGTATATATATATATATATATATATATATATATATATATATATATATATATATATATATATTCTCTCCTGTATATTTAATGAGTGAATGGATCAATGATATAATAACTATCATTCAGTGTTTGCTCAACATATAATATTTCACTTAATCAATGTTAATCGAAATATTCATTTTACACTATAACAAAACGATAGCAATTAAGAATAATAATAATAACTAATAGTTATGGAACTACTGATTCCTAGCCCAGATAAAGGAGGATGGTTGGGTATTGTGTTGTTAGCAACCCCAACCGGTAGAAACCTGATTCGCTAAAAAAACACTTATCACTAAGAATAATTCCAACCATTTCAGTTCTGCCCTGGGAGTTAGAAGGTCTTCATTTAGGATCGTTGTGACGTCTCATAACGAAAGACCAGTTTCTTCAGAATTCACAAGGCTGATTCCCCTTCCGAAAACCAGAGTAACCATTAATTTAGGTATGTGGAATGTTCTCACAATGTGGTTATCCAAAGTGCTACAGAAGCGAAAAGCCTCTACCTCGAACTTCTAATTATACTCTTTTGTAAAGGTACAATAATCAGGGGATTAAATTAAAGATCTACATCAGTAATTCATTGAATCAACGGAATAGTTCGAATCGCACCGATTTCGTTATTCACTCACTATTAGTCATTGGAATTTTGAAATCTAATTAAAGATTTTATTTGAATAGTGTTACTCTACTGAGGTTTCCAAATGAGTTCGACCTATTCCGATAGTCAATCAAGATCATTTAAACATGTGACATAAATTGAAATAATTCTATTTATCGACCGAAACTAGTTAGAATTATTGATTGTAAAATTAAGATAGTGAATAAATGTTTTCAAGTAAATTTTCCATTCATCACAAACTCCAAATATAATAGTGAGTGAATTGATCGAAGTGTGAATAAAATAATTAGACGTATTCAGACGAAAACATTTCATCAGTTTATGCAGTTATTTACTTACGTCTGTTACCTAAAATGGAGAATAGGCCTCCGACTAGCAAATTATTTTTTTGGTTACTTTTTGTAGGCGGTTTGAATTCCTACGGGATGTCGTCGCTTACCCCATGTCTGACCCTTCTCTTTTATGCAGGCCTGAATTTCATTAACATTATTTCATCTAACTTATGCCTCAATTGTATTCAGTCTTTTCAAGCTATATTTTCTCTATTGTTTTCTCTTCAGCTTCTCATGCTGATGACCATTGATGTATTCACCTCATAGTTAATCATTTTCTCTGATTGTTGTTATTCGCACGAAGTTTATTATTTTGAATGCGTTCACAATTTTTATTGTGAATTAAATTGTTCATGAATGAGAATGGTTAACTAGTTGAATCATTTATGGAATATGTAAATTAAAGATAGCTAAATGAAATGAGTTTTGTTTTTCTGATAATTATTTAATACAGACACAGTTACTTCATTCACAATCCCTAATACAATCAATAAACCAATGACATATAACTTATCTTCACTCATAAGATATTTTTTTCATTTAGCACGGAACTAATTTCCTTTGATCTGTATAGAGTTATTTTCATTTATGAGTTTTTGATTTTGTCAAATATTCAAAGAGGGTGTTGGACTATTTTTGAATGAATTAAATTTTCACAAAATTTAAAGAATGAAGTGTGTAAAAGAAATCTGCAACATTGTTGTTAAATTTTATTTTTTCGGATTGATTTATTCTTTTGTAAATTCTCTAGTCAACCGAAATGACCAATTACTCGCTTGTTATTCAACAGCTGAGTTATCCATAATTAGATTGCCCTTAAAGTTTAAAGTACTGAAAGTTAGTCAAATAGTCTACACTAACTGAATTAAGTTCAACATATGCTACTCACATCAATGTTTAATCTTGAACGATATATTGATAAAGTGTAGAAAAGCTAACGATAGTTAGAGTGAATTATATTATCAGTCAATGAAATTTTTAATCTGAGTCCCGTAAACAGTACCAGATATTCTGAACTAATTGGTCAATTGATATTGCAAAATAGTAGTTGAAAAACTTACGTAATAGTTTAAGATCAGTCATGTCAATTCAAATGAACATGCATATTGCTAAATTCTTTATTCACTATCATTTTCTCCCGTCTTCACTCAACATTTCACTGTTGCATTTTCAATATTTTCATGTGTTTGCTGATATTAAATTAAACGAGACGAAGGTTATTATTGTCAATGTAAAAGTTGTCACTATGTGAATATAGATTTGTTTCGTTGACATAAATGCAAATACCAACATACCTAAATACTATGCAAATATTCTTTTCAATATCATACTCTCTTTTCCTTTGTTATATCTATCTTTCCGTAGATATTTTCTGTATTCTTATAAGCCGTCACAAATATATATAGCAATGACATTAATTCAGTATACAATAGTCCCTTATCAATGCTGAAAATCTTTTTTGACCGAAAGAACATTTTATTCATTGACGTAATTTTGTCTCGGTTGACAACGCTTTTAGTGGTTACATACCTGACGACAAGGACTATATATATATATATATATATATATATTTATAGGATGTTTCCAAAATATTCTAGAGTATACATTGATTTAGGATGAAAATTAATGTAGAGTGCAAGCACATACATTTAAATTGAAAGAAAATTGACAAAAATTGATTTTAAAAGACATGATACTGGTCATATTATTATTATCATCGGAGAAGTTCAACTATCAGTACTAATGACAGAGATAGCGACTGTAGAATATGGATTTTTTCACTAGATGATTAGATCAGTACACTAAATATCAGTTCGTGCAATAGATCGCTGAATGAAGATTATGGATCACAATTGATAATCAGGAGTATTAGCATTCCTTCTACAGACTAGTAACAACCAGATATGTCCTATTCATATTGTAATAGTTACGTGTGGATTATTATTGAACTCAGCAAAGATGTGAACACAAACGAAACTACCTCAGTTTGGATTGGGCGCGAAATAATGTATTACGGTATCTTTGTTGTGTACAAGCTTCGCCTCTGCCATGCTTTAAATTAATGCTGAGTTTGTTTTAACTTTGCACGTTTCTAAAAAGTCCTCATTAATTGTATCTGACGTTCCCTTGAAGTTATATTCAGTACTTTCTGGAAAATAACCATTATTGTGTAGTGGAACGCTTCTACGACGAAAATACGATTTGTGAAAAATAAACATTATTGTACTTCCATTTCTTGCGCGAAACGCTTTCTTGGCGTTGCTGCCATTTTTCTAGATGCCCTGCTCCCAATGTAATGCCTATTGTCTCCTTCAATGAAATCTTGGTACATGGATTTATTTTGATATACGTGACGGAACCGTATGAAATATTTAGTGGTGACCATAGTCAATCTGGCATTCTGACTCACTCACTACAATTGGTGAGCCAACGTTTCTTCAAAAGAAGTCAATTATGGTGAGTCTATTATTCATCTATCACCATTTTTATAATGTTGCAATACTAATAATAATGTCTTTAATATATATTATACTTGCAACAACGTTTCAAAATGGTAGATAGCTATAATAATAGACTCCGAGATGCAGGTCATTGCATTTTCACCTGTCTCCTCCCCGTCACTTCAGGCTGTCAGTTTATTTTACGTGCTCGAATTTTGCACTAACGCTAGGTACTTGGTGGCCATAAGTGCCCAAGTTTC